AATATCTTCTCTAGACTAAGATGGTGAGAAGATGGGAAGACATGTCAAGTCTTGTCCTGCATAATGTTACATGAATTTTTTTTGAATATTTCAATTCTCATCTTATCTTTTCAGCACACATGGCTTTTTTATTAAAGACTGCAATTAACACCTTAGAAATCTTAAAAATGTTAACAATTATTTTCCTTAAGGAATAAAGATAGCACACCCAATTCCCCAAAAGGGAAAAACTCTCCCCATGTTGTCTAAAAATTCTAAGATTACTTATTTGTATTTAGTACAGGATCTACAGGGTCTCATCACACAGACTCATAGAGATCCTGTTTTCTGCCTCCCAAGTGCTAAGATTACAGGCATGCGCCACCACGCCCAGTGTCAGTGCACCCTGGGGATAGGGCTGACACGGTACAACTGGGAGTGAACCGTAGTCTGCTGGTCCCTGTGTTAGGCGCTTTGGTCTGCTGAGCTATCTGGCCAGCCCAAGAATATTTAAAAAGATTTAACTTTTAATTCAAAATTTAAAAAGAGTAACAGAGATCTCCACATTTGAATATACAACCAAATTGCATGAATAAACTTCCAACTTTAATCTGTGAGACTACCACTTTTCATCCAAAAAAATATTTATTTTCTGAGGAGGAAGGTACTTGCAACAGTCTTGCTATGTATTCCAGGATGGTCCTGAACTCACTGTGTACCCCAGGTTGGCCTCAAATTCATGACAATCCTACCTCATCGTCCTAAAAGTTTAGGATTACAGGTGTGCACTAACTACACCGGGCTTCAAAGTTTTTTGGTTTTTTTGTTCAAAGTTTTAAAAGGAAGAATTATCAGATATAAAATTACTCAACAAGCCATGGGGGGCAAAAAAAAAGCAACAGGAAAAAAATGGTGCCATGGAAATTCTAAAATTTTAAGAATAAATGTCTCTGTTCTAATTTTGAAATCTGAAGTAAGTATCCAGTATTGATTGGGCACTTAAAAGACTTTGAGATTATATAACACTGTCAAATAATACATTAAGATTTGATGCCCAGTGTGGTGTTACAAGCCTGTTGTCCTGGCATTCTGGGAGAGGGAGGCAGGAAGCTTGGGCCCTGCCTGGTTATCGTGACAACTTAGCAAGATCTCAAAACTTAAAAAATTACTGGGGATGTCACTGCAGAAAGTCTTGGGTTCAATCTCCACTGCTTAAAACAAGATAAAACAAAAACCTGACAACTTCTGTTTTTCCAAGCACGAGTAAATTCCCCAAACCTGTTAAACATTAACTCACACTGATACATGGATTAAATGTCAACACTGTAAACACAAATGATTTTTAAAAAACTACTGTATCTATATTAAGTTAGGACAAAGGAACATACCATGAATATAGGGTTTTTTGGTATAAAGGGTAGGTTTATAGCTTTTTTATTAAAGACTGCAATTAACACTTTAGAAATCTTAAAAATGTTAACAATTATTTTCCTTAAGGAATAAAGATAGCGCACCCAATTCCCCAATAAGTAAGTAAGTTGACAAAAATAACTTTAAATTCAGAGAAACAACTCTACTTTTTTTTTTCAAGTTACTAAACCACTTTAATGAGAAATACTGTTCTCAACCTATATGCAGCTCATACCAGGAAGAGCTTTACACTATTCATAAATCTGTAAGACCCGAAAAACTAAAAAACAAAACAACCCCCCAACAACAATAAAACACACACACGGCTAAATATTCATCTATAAAAAAACTTAATAGAAAAATAATTTTAAAGCAAGGGCAAGCAAAAACTAAATTATTGAAGAAGCATCAAAGGCCAAGCCTTAACTGACCACTGAACAGAGCCATGCGACTTGAAATACAGTGGTTTTCTAAAAAAGATCGAGCCAAACTTGGTGGCTTACACCTGTAATTCCAGCACTTGAGGGGCTGAGGCAGGAGGGTTGTTCTGAG